CGCTTTTGTTGGCACGTTGTTGAACTGGAAAGCACTGTCGGAAGTTGCCACCAAGCACCATGACTTTGCCTCCAAACGGAATGTTGTTGCAAATCACGCGTAGGAGTTCGTCGATGTTGTGCAAGCCGTATTTTGACATCATCGGAGCTTCGTCCATAAGACACATGTGGGCTCCTTTGAGTGCGTTCGCCTTCGGTGATCCTGGTTTGATGGATGATCTTGAGTCGGATGTAAGCGGGACTTTCAAGCCAAAGGTTCGGTGCGTTGTTTGACCACTCGGTAGAAGAATCGCTGCTATCCCGGTGTAAGCCATGCATTTCACTTTCTTAAGCCTTCCGGTAACGATGCGATACAGCGTGCTGTAGACGAATGTCTTCCCGGTTCCTCCTAGTCCATCTATGAAGAAGCATTTCGCAGCAGGAGTCGGGTCTTCAAGTGCTTGGATTATGGTGTCGACGATTTCACGCTGCTTTCGTTGAGTTGCTGGTACATGCGGTCTCCGATTGCTGTTGATTCGTCGACGTCGATTATATCGTGTTCCAAATCTTGCTCATAGTTGTCGATGTCTTCCATGCCATGTGCCTGCACCCAGTATCGGAAGTTGCGGCCTTCGGTAGCTTCGGTGTTCAGCTTATGCGCGATGATTCGGTAGGCACGCTTTATCGCTTCTTCTATGGAACCACCAGTACGTCTTGCTTCTCGAATGAAATCTTCCGCTAGGTCCTCTTTGAACAGTTCCCATAATCTCTTCGGGTTTTCTGGCGCACCAAGTATCAGGATTTGAGCGAAGATTATGCGCATAATACTTGGCATTTTCGATGAAGCAGATTCGCGGAGTCCTTCTACGTACTGTTGGTCGTCGTATGTGAGGCCTCTGGCTAGACAGGCTTGCTTGTAGGTTGCGTGCTGGACACCGTAGACAATGTAGAGGTCTCTGAAGTTCGTTGGTTCTTTGACGTGGAACAAAAGCGTGAGCAAGAAGAAAAGTTCTGGCTGGGAAACGAAGTTGACTGGATGTACGCGACCAATTCTGCTGCAAGCATTCACGTTCTTCTGCCAAGTGCTCGTCTGGCCAATCCATCGGTAGTGCTCCGGCATTTCATGGTTATAGTGGTAGGTGACTGCCTTTCCGTTCGCTTCGTCTTCTTTCAGCGCGGTGTTATGGCGGAAGTAAGCCCTTAAGATCGATCCTTTCTGTCCAATATCGGCAAGGTCAACTGGCGTTTAGTCCAAGTTAACGCCATCTTGATCGGTGAATGTCAAGTCGAACGACGGTGTGGCTTTTCGCTTGGATCTCGAAATCCCTGAATAGGCACCAACATGCTTCAACTGGTGAGATATAGCGAGCTTCCACATACTTCTCCGGATCGTTGTAGATGATCGTCTGCTGGTTTTCGACGGCCTTTATCGTAGCACAATCATGGCCCTTGTAGATGTACTTGTAGAGGTATTTCACCGGTACGATGCTGCCTACGAATTCGACATTGATGTGGCATTGATACTACTTGAGCAGGTAGGCGTTGTACGGGACGACGTGGCGGTTGTCTGTGGTGACGCGCTGGCCGTTGCAGTCTTTCCTGTAGATGGCTTGCTCATGCGAGAATTCTGGGTTCATTGGATCCAACAACGGATTGTAGCGTCGGCGATACCTCGGCTTTTCATCGTCCACCAGCGATGTCATGTCTTGATGTTCCATTGGAAATCCCCATCTGCACTGGTCTCTTCCATGTTTGCTGACCATGCACGGAGCGCTTGGGTTCATATCACCACACGGGTTATGGATCATCCATTTCGAGATCAGTTCCTTGAGTTCCGGATCATCTTCTGGAATTTCCGCCGAGATCAAATCGTCAAGTTGGTCAGCGCTGTGAATCTTGTCCGCTGGCGACATAATCACTAATAGGTGCATGTGCGGTAAACCTCGCTTTTGGAACTCGATGGTGAAGACGTACGCGGATGCTCTTCCAAAGATTTGATGCGTCATGATGTCTTCGACGATTTGGCGGAACTTGAGACGTGCGACTCTTGCAACGATGTCTGGACGGGTTAGAGCCAACAGGCTTTCCGGAATTGCGGCGTTGAATTCATTGCGTATCGCTGACAGGAGTTCTGGCCACTGCGGATTGCAGGTAACGGTGATAAAAAATTCGGGCGATCCAAATCTTCGCACTAATGCCATGGAGTCTTCGAAATTCTCGGTGTACCA